AATTAAAATTTTACAAAACAAATTTTTCATTCTTTCATTAAAACAAGACTAAATACATCTCATAATTTAAATGTACACCAAGTCATAGAGTTAATCAGTGATTTTACTCTTGCATTTGACTGATGTATGGTCCTTTGTATCGTGGAACTGAATCGGGCCTTCTAGAAGCCCAGGAACAGGAGCAGTAAGTAGTGTGGGGGCCAAGTATGCACCTGGGCTGCAGAGGTCTCTTTCCTCCTGGTTATGGGAATTCTTTCTGTTTTGTTTTATTCTGTTTTGTGGTGCTAGGAACCAAGCATAGGGCCTTGTTCTTACAAGTATATGAATTCTTTGTATACTTAAAAGTGTGTATATGATATTTGATGGTTTTAATTTGATTTTTTAAAAATATTTTTTATTTCCATTTCCTTCTAATGATCACTATTACTTTTTAGTTGCTTTTTAATGGGGTTATAGCATTTAGCAAAAGGATAAATAAATTATACCACAAATTTGGAAATTATAAGTTCTGCTTCTTTGTCTCCTGGTAAACAATTATCTAATAATTTCTTTTTTTAATTGAAATTGGCTTTCTTTGATTTTATATAAGTTTACAACAGTAAAAATTCTATTTTTATAGGAGACTGCTAGACTATCTCTAATGTTTGCATAGATTAATTAAATGTTATTTATTTTAGAATTTTTGTTCTCAAATAGCTTAGTGTTTCTTGGAAAAAACAAACTATTTCTATATTACTTGACTCCACTCTAGAAAAAAGTATAATTTTATATAACATTTTTATCAATAAATAATTTATTTCCTTAATGGGTTAGTTTCAGGAAAACATAGATTGCCTTCTTTCAGAGAGATTTATTGTTAGACACATATTAATATATGTTATAATTATGTCTGACACAGGGTTGCACAATCAGTTATTTATGAATAATTTACTATTATCTTTATAATATATTAAAGCTTTAAATTGTTGATATTCTGCATGAGCACCAAACAAATGAAAGTTACTAATAAGTGTTTGTATTTAACATCTGCATACTGTACTTTTTAGCATATCTCAAGTGTGTTAGTCTCACCCTAATAGATCTCATTAAAAAAACAGATATCAGCCCCAAGACAGTTTGTCAAGACTAATATGAGTCCCCCTGGACTGGATTGACAATTGTGCAAGGCTTCATATAATAGTCTTTTCATAGTCTTATTTGATCCTTAACAATTGGACATTAGTCACTGGTTTATTTTATAATAACTCAGATGAGTTGAGTATTACTGTATTGTGTTGGACATTTTAGTGGATTTTCTTTTTTACAGATTTTACTCAGAGAATACATTGGATGTAAATGATGTATCAGTCTGTTAGGGGAGTATTAACGATTGATTGGTTGGGTTTGAGAGCTGCACGGGAAGAATGTTACTATCCCTGAGCTGCAAACCATATTTAACTCCAGTCTTAATGAGGTCTGTCTGTCCTTAAGGCTTTGAAAAATCCCAAATGCTTAGCATTCCACTGGCATGTTTTGGGGTGTGTGTAACTAAAAATTTGGATGTAAATGAGAATTTTATATGGAATAAAAAAATACATAGCATATACAAATATATATATAATATACAATGGGATTTAAAAGAATTTTAATAGAGGTTTTATAATTTGTGTTTTTGAATCTCAGAAATAGAAGTTACAGAATGCAATCCCAGAGTATTCCGTTTGAATTATTTTGTTTGTATATCCTTTTCCTTGATTTCTTTCCCTCTTCCCTCAAGTCTTCAGTAAGTGCAGATGTCTATTAATGTATCACTTTGGTTAGGCAATTGTCTTTCAGTGATATCAAAAGGATGTTGCATACACATGTAATCCCAGCACTCTGGAGGCTGAGGCAGGAGATCATCCTGAGTTCAGGGCCAGCCAGGGCTGCGCTGTGTATTGAGACCCTGCCTCAAACAAAACAGAAAAGGATGTTAAAAGTCCTGATCTGACCTTGTACTAAAGTGATTCCAAAACTTGGAATTCTTTTTATCTGTCACAGGGGGTTTTTTGGATCCTATTTTAAAGCTTTGGTGTACTGCAAGAAATACTTGAAGCCGACTAGTGAAATTTTTTGTTTTGTTTTTAAAAAAATTGTTTGAAGTTTATTCATGAAGGTAATGTGTTTATCAACCCCTGGAATAGCTTCTGCCAATAATTCCACAAATGAGTAGTCGATCCCTTACGGATTGAGCAGTGATGGTGCATGGAAGGGCTGAGCATGGCATTGGAGAGGTCTCTGCAGCATAATGCCACTACACAGTATCGCTCCTTCAGCATTTTTGCTTAAAATTCTGATGCAGTCAATGCAAAGCTTTAAGCATTTAAGTCTAACCAGCTTCACCATTTCAATGTGCATAAAGAGGTAATCATCCATTAGGAAAACTCACGGTTCTTCATTTGATGATGCATAAAATAAAATTGCTCTAATTTTTAAAGCTTTAATATTGAGAAAATTCATTTGTACTTCATCATTTGCTGAGCCTTCTAGAATTTTATAGTCTCAAATCACAAAACCATGGACACTCAGGAGACTCCTGACTGTTTTATATTATTAAACAATTTTGAAATCGTTAATTTTTAATTAGCTTGGATCAGGTTTTTTTTATTGTTTCAATAGTGAGTGTATATGAAGTAAACGTTTTTTATTTAAACTACTGGTAAGAGTGTTAGTTGCATAAATAAGTGTAGATTCTTTTCTAAGAATACATGCTATCAGTTTGCTTCATACAGTGACACTTTTGTACTCAGATATTACATGTTAATCTATGAGTAAAGCTTTTTGGCAGTTTATTAATTCAGATTTTTAACAACAACCAAAAGGATATAAGCATGAAGATAAGTATAAGTCCTTCCCTGATTGAAAGTTCTAATTAAGTGAATTGAAGAAAATTAACTGAAATTAGCTGTCAGAAAGTCACATTTAAATGAGTGATGAGCTAGTCTGGCAGTAAACATTTAAATGATATAAATTGCCATTTAAGTGTATGGTTTAATGTTTGTCATGCATTAATGTGACATGAGACTGCAGTGACAATCAAGCAGCTTGCTCTAATTTGAACATATTTAGGGCTTTTGTGTGGAGTGTACTGCACACAAATTAAGACAATTGCTGTTTTTATGTGTCATTTTAAACGTGTTTCCTACTCCCTCCCATCCCTTCCCAACCTAAGTTAATGAAACAAGCATATCATTTGTGTACAACTTGCATTAGTAGTTTCTGGGTTTTTAGATTCATTTTAAGTTTATGTACTTAAAATCCAAATTTATGTAAAATCCTTTCTGTTGTTATTTCAAGAAAAATATGAAGTGGTTTCCTGCTTTCTTATCCCTTTACTAAGCTGGCAAATAGAATAAATTTTATCAAAGATGTCTAAAACAGTAACTTTCACAATTGACATAAGCTGAGTATTTCAGGCACATTTCATTTCAAGTACATTGTGGAATGTGGGGATTTCCTAGGGCCTAGAGTTTTATTTACAGAATTATATTTCATGTTTTATAGTATGGTGATCTCATGTCAAATGTTATTAAACATTATTTGTATTTAGCTATAAACAGCTTTCTTATTCGCACTTATTTTAACAAAGCTTGTCTTTCTACAAGTGTACACCTGTGAACTAATAGATATCTCTTGTGTTGCAGGATGGTTTTATATCTTGCTTATTGCCTGTTTTAGAAATGAGTGCATTTGGGTCTGAGAGTGTGGCTCATTAGTAGAGCATGTACTTAGCATGTGGAAAGCCCTGGGTTCAATCCCCAGCATCAAAAAGAAAATGTTAATCAATTTTGTCTTAAAACCTACCAATTTTTATTATATTTGTTACATAGCAGCAAGCCATAATAAAACTATACAAAATGCTACACTTTTAACTCTAAAAATAAGAATTAACTTCAAAGGGATCCATTACCAGATATAACCTGGTTTACTTTTAATTAAACTTCAGAGTTTGAGAAGTCTTGTTTTTAATAACATTATTTATTGGTAAGCTATTACGTTAAGCTTTTATGTTGGAATAATTTTGAATAATAATATAAAGACAAATACATTCCTAAAAAAAAAATCTCCAGCCTTTAAAACTCTTAATACTTGTAACTTTAGTAAATTCGCAAACACTTACTGGTACCTATTGTATTTTGCCACAGTGCTAGTGAAAGGACTGTGCTAATGAGTCAGAGTGGATCTGTGCTGCATGGCAGTCGAATGCTTGATTATGTTCATTCATTATTTATTGAGCTCTGTTATGTTAATAGCATGAAATATTTGGTCTGGTTTGATATTAGCACCTAGAATGATATTTCAGTAATTACAAGTATTCACCACAAAAATCTAATTCGTGAACATAAAAAAATCAATCAAGATCACTAAATAATTTGGTTATAGTTGTAGTAGACAACAGTATTCTAGAAAAATTATAAATATTTCAAGTGGACAGTAAATTTTTAATATTTTCACATTTGCCTTCCCAAAGTAGCCTTGCCCTCTTTTCTTTGAAGCATGTGAGCAGCATAAGCCCAGTCCTGGTCCTTACAGTGTTTACAGTACAGAGAAAGAATACTGAAACTAAAGCAGCTATTGCAGTACAGCATGGTAAGGGCCAGAACGTCTCATTGTATGCAAAAGAGGACAGGTTCTGATAAAAAATAGGACATGAGAACTTTTTTTGGTGCTTGGAATTGAACCCAGGGCCTCACATATGCTATGGTTTCACTCTACCAGTGTGCTACACCTCCAGCCTCGGTTTTTGTTTTTGTTGTTCTTTGAGATGGGAGTCTCACTGTGTTGCTGAGGCTGGCCTCAAACTTGCAATCGTCATGCTTCAGCCTCCCAGATAGCTGACATTACATGATACCACCATGTCCAGCTTTTCAGTTTAGTCTTTTTACAGTAAGTTAGGTGTTAAACTTTACTGCTTCTTCTAAATAGCTCTCTATTTCAGAAGTAGAATTGTTCATGATGATATGATCTACACCTTTTTCCAGGCTTTGGAGAGCGAATTTGTTTCCTGCCAGCTTCACCAATGGATTGATCTCATTTTTGGCTACAAACAGCAAGGACCAGAGGCTGTGCGGGCTCTTAATGTGTTCTATTACCTGACCTATGAAGGAGCAGTTAACCTGAATTCTATAACTGATCCTGTGCTGAGAGAGGTAAGTCCTCTGACTGACAAAGAAACTGATAATCAAGAACCCTTTACCTAGATAGTATTAGATATCATCTTCCCTATCCTTTCATTCTGCTGATGGAGAAACTGAATCCAGATGAGTAGGTAAAGTGACAGAAGCAGGATAGCCTGTCAACTATCGACCTCCTGTGGACTTGAACTGAGGGCTTTCCTCCAGCAAAATGTTTGACTTGGTTTAAAATGAGAGCATATTGAATATGAACCCACAAAGGAATTTGAAGTCAATTTTTAATTTTTATACTGTTGGAGGCTACTCTCATGATATATGAGGAAAATAGTGATTAGTCATTGAAGAAATACGATTGTAAGCACAAATCTAAATGCAGTAAAACATTTATATGAGATACATAAGTGCATATGTAATTACCTAGAGGTTCATAGTGGGGTTGAAGTCTAAAACTTTCCTCTGTCATCAGTCTTGTTAAATGTTTATGAGACTTTGTAATTGTCATGTACTTTGTAAGGTAAAACACTCAAAATATGATTTTGGAAAATACAGTATTCACTAAAAATTCTGTAGAAGATCTTGATTTTTTTTCTTTTTTTTTAGTATTTCTAATCGAATCCTACATTTTCCTGAGTGTAACATACCTCATATGGACAGTTATAGAATGGAGCAGATACAATCTCAAATGTCTGTGCAGTTTTAGGACAGAACTATATTTAGGAAGCCAGGGGCTTTGATTCATAGGGAAAGCTATATATTTTGGAGGATGTAATGTATAAGGTTTACCATTTTTCACAAGGACTTGATGCATTCTTCTATAATTGTATGACCGGACTATGGTGAAAGTATCTAAATACATATTTAAATGACTTGGCATATTATCACCCGACTTCGTGCTAAATAAAAATTGGCCCACAAACACAGTTATCCTGTGCTTAGGCATACTTTAGTCCCAAATCACACCATTTTTAAATTGCTGTTTTTCACATTTTGAAAACTATAGAGGCAGAGAGCTGGGTCAGATGCACTCCTAAAGATTCTTGGTATTTTTTAGTTCTTTGCAAATGTTCCTTCCAGAACATTTTATTTCATTAGAGTAACAACTGACTGACACAAGATATACAGATTCTATATATGAAACTGAGGTTAGCACAACATATGTGTTAGGAAACAGTATATCATTTCATTCTTAGAATAGAGGAGCATAAGTCTACTTTCTTTTTATTGTTTTAGCAATACTTGAACAGTGCTACTTTATTCTAGGAGCCAGTGATTCTTCAACAAATATATTTCCTGTTTTTATTTATTCATCACTTGTAGTAAGTATCCCTATCTCTACATAGCAGAGCCTTAACCAAATTCACACTATAGAATTGATTTTATAATCTCCTTCTTTATTTAACATACCAGCATATTATTTGCGTTGTTTTGTAATATCTAATTTTTATTTTGAAATTCCATAATATTCCATGAAGTTCCTGTAAAAATGTACTTAATGCTGTTTTTCCTCATGTGGGATGCTATCCACACATCTCAGTGTGTCCAAGATGATAGGAGTAGCTCTACCTTTCACTTCATTAATGTTTAGGTAACATTTACATCATAGAGATGGCTCGCAACTGTATGTGTTTGTCTTGGCTACTTACCTGGCCATTACCTGTTTCTGTTACTTGATATGATTAGCTCTTTGTTCTTATTCTGGGTTGAACACCCCTCCCCACCACACACAAATACCAGTGACTTCCAAAGAAGTTTACTATATTGCATTTACAGCATAGTATGAAAGAATGCTGTCTTAACACAATTTCCTACTGTGAGGGAAATATTTATATCCACACTGTACGGTATGGCCTGAAATCACGTGCAGCTATTGTTCACTAGAAATGTGGCTGGTGACTGAGGAACTGGATATTTAATTAATTTTAGCTAATTTAAATGTACATAGGCATTACATTTAACTAATTTAAATTTACAGTGCCTACCACACTGAACAGCAGAGAACTGAAGCACTATCTTTTATCCTTAGTAACCATGCTTTCTGACTCTGATTTCAGGGCAACAAATGTTTATTACATTAACTTGTTAGGTAGGGTATTTGAAATTATACGTATTTCCATTTCAGCATTAGATATATAATTGAAATATAGGTGTAAATTATATACTTTTCTTTTGCCTAAACTTACACATAACTTTAAGGTTTTTTTACCTTAAATAAAAAAATAAATGCATGTCAAAATTATCATTTTTGCCATTTTGGATATACACTTTCATGGCATTGAGAGCTGCACACAGGGCAGTGGGTAACTCAGTGGTAGAGCATGCACAAGGCCCTGTGTTCAGAATCCCCACCAGAGAGAAAAGAAACCACATTGCTATACAAACCATCACCACTGACCATCACCACTGTCCACTCCAGAAGTTTTTTATCTTCCCCAACTGAAGCTGTCCAAGCATTAAACAATAACTCCCAGTTCCCTCCTCCCCTCAGTCAGTGCTTAACTATTCTATTGTCTATCAGTTCGATTACCTGGGTACCTCATTAAGCAGAATCATACTATATTGTCCTCTTGTCTGACTTATTTCATTTTGCATAATATCTTTAAAATTTGTCCATTTTGTAGTAAGTATCAGAATTTTCTTCCTTTTGTAGGCATGAATAATAGTGTACTATTTGTGTATATCATGTTTTGTGACATTTTGAGTTCTTCTGTTTTGGCTGTTGTGAATAATATGCACTTTGTTGTACAAGTCCCTCTTTTGGGCATATGTTCAGATGTAAAATTGCTAGATTATGTGGTAATTCCATGTTTTACTTTTTTAGGGATCACCACACCAAATAATAATTATTTTTCATGATTGTTTGCCAAAGACTACTTAAAAACTTTTTCTTCAAATTTCTGTGACTTTATTTTTTTTTTTCTCAGAATCAGATGATTATCAGAAAATTCTTAACTGAATAGTTTTCACTCATACCCTCAGGTATTTTTATATTATACATATATTTGTACTATATACGTTGTATATTAGATTCTGCATTCATTAAGTAAACTTGCCCTGTCATGTTCTAAGTATGTACATGATAGTCTTGAAATTAGGATATATTTCTTTGTTACATAGCATTATTAATATAAATACACATGTTTAATTCACAAAACTTTTTGAATGGTAAATACTAACATAAATAACAGTCACCTCTTTTGTTATTGCCTTTCTGATTATTGGCCAATGCTAAATCTTACAGCACAATGCAATATGATACAGTAGGTTAAAACAAATAAACAGATGTAGATTTGAATCCTATGCTGCCTTCCTCAGCCTGTTTCCTCAAATATAACACGAATATGCTAATGCCACCCCACAGAGGACCAGGTGAGATACAATGTATGTAGGGCCCAGTCATGGTGCCTGTAAGATCATAAATATTCAGCACATGTTAATTCCTTCCCTCATGCTGTTCAAGTTAACTCCCCGGGCTGGAAAAAAACAGCCAGAAAAGGATTGAGCTAGTGATGACATCATAGAAAGAAGCAGAAAATGTTGAGAAGTTATTAGCAGCCATATCCTAGAGGATAAGCATAGCACAGTGTTAAATGAGGGAAGAAGAAAGCAGAAAACAAATGGACAGTGGTGGCTCATACCTAGCCACCCATGAGGCAGGGGTTGATAGGATGGTAGTTCCAGGCCAGCCCAGGCAAAAAGTTTGGGAGACCCCATCTCACCCAGTAATTGGGTGAGGTGATATGCACCATTCCTCCTAGCTATATAGGAGGCTGAGATCAGAAGGGTAATGGTTTGAGACTAGCCCCAGTAAAAAGACTCTATCTCAACAGAAAAGGCTAGGCATGGTTGTGCATACCTGTTATCCCCAGGTGCAAGGGAAGTGTAGAGGAGGCTCATGGTCCAGGTAAGCACAACCAAAAAGCAAGACTGTAAGGGCTGGCAGAGAGGCTGAAGTGGTAGAGCACCTGCCTAGCAAGTATGAGACTCTGAGTTCAAACCCCAGTACTACCCCCCCAAAAAAAAGGAGGGGGCTGGAGGAGTGGTTCAAGTGGTAGAACACCTGCCTTGCAAATGTGAGTCCCTGAGTTCAAACCCCAGTGCTGCCAAAAAAAATTTGCATAGATAAATGGGACTTCATAAAACTTAAAAGCTTCTGCTCAACAAAAGAAATGGTCTCTAAACTGAAGAGAGCACCCACTGAGTGGGAGAAAATATTTGCCAGCTACACATCAGACAAAGGACTGATAACCACAATATATAGGAAACTCAAAAAACTAAATTCTCCCAAAATTAATGAACCAATAAAGAAATGGGCAAGTGAACTGAACAGAACTTTCTCAAAAGAAGAAATTCAAATGGCCAAAAGACACATGAAAAAATGCTCACCATCTCTAGCAATAAAGGAAATGCAAATTAAAACCACACTAAGATTCCACCTCACCCCTGTTAGAACAGCCATCATTAGCAACACCACTAACAACAGGTGTTGGCGAGGATGTGGGGGAAAAAGGAACCCTTTTACACTGCTGGTGGGAATGCAAACTAGTACAACCACTCTGGAAAAATATCTGGAGGCTAATTAAAAATCTAAACATAGATCCACCATATGATCCAGCAATACCACTCTTGGGGATATACCCAAAAGAATGTGACACAGGTTATTCCAGAGGCATTTGCACAGCCATGCTTATTGCAGCACTATTCACAATAGCAAAGTTATGGAAACAACCAAGATGCCCCACTACTGACGAATGGATTAAGAAAATGTGGTATTTATACACAATGGAATTTTATGCAGCCATGAAAAAGAATGAAATCTTACCATTTGCAAGAAAATGGATGGAATTGGAGAACATCCATTCTGAGTGAAGTTAGCCTGGCCCAAAAGACCAAAAATCATATGTTCTCCCTTATATGTGGACATTAGATCAAGGGTAAACATAACAAGGGGATTGGACTTTGATCACATGATAAAGTGAAAGCACACAAGGGAGATATGAGGATAGGTAAGACACCCA